CCTACTGGTGTAAATGATAACCGCATAATTTATGCAGAATTTCTGCTGAATTGTAGAATTTGCTGAATTTCTGCTGAATTGCAGAATTTCTGCTGAATTTGCTAAATACTATGTCAAACTTAAATAGTAACCGCGGAATTTGCTGAATATGCAGAATTTGCAGAATTTTTTAAACATTTACACCCTATAAAGATTAGGGTTACTATGTGTAAGGGAATTTGTTGTGTTCCAAATAACTTATAAGAAAACAAAGAGACTATTATTGAACATGAATATTCCCAACTGTCATTACTTTTATCTTTGTTAAATGAATATGTCGTTTTCCTTATATATATTTTCTTTTTTCTGAAAACAAGTTTCCTTACGTTTTTATTACGATAGTATATGTTCATGATTACATATTGCTTCATCAATTAACTAGGATAATACCCGCGCTGTGCGCGGGTTGAAATGAATATACATAAACAGAATTTGAAATATATTAGTGTATATTCAAACTTTTGATAATTTTATAAGTATGTGTACCATCTAGGGATGTAAAAAAAAAATACATAAACCAAACTGAACCGAAACAAAATTCACCAATTCAAACTCCAACCCACTTATATAATAATCTGAATTGGTATATACTAAATTATCAAAACCGAACTCTAGTAGGTTATATACTAGACTTATATGAATTATGAGTTTTCCATTAAAAATGAGATTTTGTACATCTCGTGATAGCATCCCATATTATTAATCAAGTTAGCACCAATTTTGTACTCTAATGGTTAATTCAACTTATACTCATCTATTTGACATTGGAAATCATGCTTTTATCTACATGGTATATAAAACCAAACTTATAAATATCAAATGACTCTTTTTGGTCAGGAATATAAAAAGAGTGTAGACATATAAAAGACGATAATAGTATAGGAAGCATGGAAATGCCAATTAATCACGCCACTGATTCCAAAATTTATTCTTTAAACTATGCCAACTTCTTAAAATGTCCACATGTAGATTCCAGAATACACTCAATCTCATAATTTTGGCCACTTATAAAAAAGAAAAACAATATATTATAAAATAGTATATGACATGAATATACATGCGCAAAGCTGGAAATTTATCATCAATCAGGGAAAAAGCCACTCATAAGCATTTTTAAAATCTCTAAAGAACATTAGAACAATATAATGCAAATTTTACAAACAATACAAAAGCCTAAAACAAATACTAAAACTTGTAAATAGATTAACGACCCGAACAAATAGTCTAAAGATATGATCAAACAAACAAATACCAAGTTGAGATAGAGAAATAATCAAATTTGATTACAATTTACATTCACAAAGCCGGCAAGAATCTTTTGGATTTATACTGAAGAAAATAACATCCCAAGAGAAAGATCGATTCATCTAAAACACAATAAAATTGAAAACCTTAAATGACAAATGCAGAAAAAGGTGAGAATTGAGAATGACATTGTTACAATATATATTTATAAGCAATGAAACGTATTAACAAAAAATTAGGTTTATATATTTACCAAACAAATCCAAACCTTAATTGATTACAACAATATGTAGATATTATCGAATTATTATTTACCAAAAAATTAGTTTAAAAAATTTAGATTTTATTTTCGGGCCAATGGAGAATTTTTGCCATGTATAGTTGTCAATGATAAAACAATAAAATCTTGCTTTTAAGATATATTCTATATATTGTTAAATTTCTTGCGAAATTTTTTAGCATAATTTTAGGACCAAAATGTTATTTATAGTTAGTCTATATTGAGTTTGATAAAAACAAAAAAAAGTTAGTTTATATTGTGATAATAAATAAATATTTGTGAAATAGAAAGAAAGTGAGARTCYGTTTAAGGAAATATCTTTATTATAGCGTATATTGAAAATTTAATGTTCTATTATATGTTRATAATAAAATCCRGTGATTCCTAAAATATCGTTAAGTTTATATTGATGTAGATATTTATCTTTCCTAATATTGAAAATCTTGTATTTAAGTAATTATTTCGGATCATTCAATAAATATTGGATCCATTCAAAATTTTTATTTGTCTTGTATCTAATAAAATCTGGTTTTTATAGTGGAGTTTGGTATGTAGTTGTTATAATAATATTGTGAAATACCTTTTTTATTGGATATTAAAAAGTGAAGATTATGATTTTGTTAACTAACTTATTCTC